CGGACCTTGGCATGTGCTGGTGACGGAAGGCTACTTCGTCCTGCCGTTGGTGGTCTGTGCAGCTTTGCTGCACCCCGTGGTGGCCTGGCTGCTGCGGAGGCAGCGTACGCCGCTGCAGGAGGCGTGCCGGGAGTACCTCAGCGAGCTCAGCTCGTTCAGCCTAGCAACCATTCCTGCTGCCGAAGACCAGGACCACCCCCGGAACCAAGGACTGTCCATGCACGCTTTGCAGCATTTCTGGGAACACTTCAAGCGCTTCGTTCTCGAGAGAAATATGCACTTTGTCGTGGCCAACATCGTGGAGCCGCTCACGGAGAAGCGACAGACATCTTTCGTAAGCCTCCTGCAGGGCAAGCCAGTGTCATACTTTGTTTCGCACAGCTGGGCCACGCCCTTTCAGCACTTTGTACAGTGCCTGCAGCGCCACACAGCCTTTACGGGCGCCTTGGAACCCACTTACTGGATATGCTCCTTCGCCAACAACCAGTGGGACATTGCCAAGGAGATCGGGACCGACGTCCTTGACAGCGCCTTTGCCAAGGTCCTCCAGTCCGGCGTGCAGGGCGTGGTCATGGTATTGGACCAGCAGGTCCAGCCCTTCACACGTGCCCTAGATGCATTCGACTGAAACATACTGCGACTGCCGAGCCCTGAACCCTGAACCCTGAAGTTGGTGCAGCAAACCACCGAGGGCGTAGGCCACTGCACTGTAAAGCATACACACACACACACACACACACGTCCTACGCATTTTGGGAGGAGTTTGGTGTCTCTTTGAGCTCTTCCTCTCCAGCAAAAGGGCTCTGCAGGTCGTCTTCGCCACAGATGCTTGCCGGTGCTTAAGGGGGACCGGGGCAGAGCATGAAAACTACTGCAAGGCTTTAGGGCTTGCTACGGGCTTTTATGGTGTATGGGGAGGGGGGGAGTGAATTTTGGCATTAATACGGAGGGGCATCTATATTTGGCATATATATGGTATACACATGTATATATAGTGTATGTATCTTCGGATTCTTATATAGGAATTCACTTCGCTGCTCCCCATCCAGCACCAGTACCATAGGGGGTATGGACGGGGTTCCATGTATTGGACTGGAAGTATCATGGGAATTCACTTCCTTCCTATTCCTCAAACCCGAAACCTCCAGCACCAGAAAGGATTGCGGCATTTTGGGGGACGAGCTGTGCGACTCCGTCGGCGTAGCCCTGGAGTTGGGCCGGCGGATCAGCTGCCTGCAGGTGGCTTACTTGCGCTTCCGGGGGAATGGAGCAGGGAATGCGTGCGTAGTAATGTTGGGGGTTACATAATTTAGGTAGTATATAATGCGACGGTTTACGGCGTTTACGGAGGGAAGAGTATACTATACGGTATCAATACAGGGGATGACATAGGATAAATGTACGTTACCCGACTCCCCCTCACCAGTAAGGTGGAGCGTTGCCAAGCTTCCTCTGAACTCGACAAGCAGCGAATCTTTGCACACATTCGAGGGGAGCTCGGTAGCCTCGAGCGCATGGATGGCAAAATCAAGGATATGGTCAGGGACATGCTTCGCAGAAACCTCCAGCATGCGAGAACCTCCACAGCTACACTCCGCCAGCAGCTGGAGCAGTGAACAGGGAGACCCAGAGGCCTCCACTTTTGGCAATAAGCCCAACTCGTGAGAGGTGCTCCTAGTAGTGCGCTTGCCACAAGCTGTCGGCGCCAAATTAGTGCATGCCTCGTTTTCCTGGCGCTAGAATCGCCGTGCCGATTTTGTGAATCAGACGGAAGCTCGGCAGGGCGATAGAGGCGTGACTTGCGACCTCAACACCCTTGCCAGCTGGAAGTCAGGATCGACGTGCCATGCACAGCCTTGTCCTCGCCATGTTAGGTGTGTACGGGCTTTACACATAGAGCGTCTGGTACCCTGCATGTTCAGGCCTCGCTGAATTTGTTTTCAGGCCGGGACGTTGGCTGTCTGATGCACGGCTGTGCAAAAAAATGTCGATCAACCTCAAACCTGTGGCAAAAACTGTTGCCGTGAAGCTGTTTGCCATCGCCTCGGCATGAGCACTCATCCCTGCTTTTAGAGATGTGGAGCCCAGTACCCCTAAATTAAGCGATGTTCTTTAAACTTTAAATCATGCTATGGGTCCTTACTTACTTGAAGAAATCGCACCCTCTTTGTCAGGCCAGGCTCTTCGGATTGCCAGCCTCTTCCAGACCAACTGCAGCTCCCGGGACTCCAGGGTTTCTGAAAACTCCGATCTGTCTCTCCAGCACCTTCAC